GGGCCCCTCTGGGCGGCCAGCCAGCCCTGGGGCCCATTGCCCTGGACGACGTCGAGTACCTGGCGGGGCAGCGCTGCCAGCGGCCTGTGCCCAACCAGGGTAAGCCCTGCCCAGGTCGGCCAGCCCTGGTCTGGGTCTGAGCTCAGCTGCTCAGCAGCTCCCAGCCCCTGTGGCTGCCCGAGGCCGGTAGAGCCCCCAGGGCTGGCGCCTCGCCGTCCCCCATCTGCCTCTGTCCCCTCCCCTCCCTGGGCCCCTGACCTTGCCCTGCTCCCAGGCTGAGGCTGGGCCCGGGAGGTGCCAGGCAGACGAGGGACTGCAGCCTCCTTGCTGGGGGCTGGTGCTTCACCCCCAAGTGGGTCCAGCCTGGGGCCACGATGCCTGCCTGTCCTCGTCTTGAGCAGTGACCCCAGGAACCCGCAGGGGGAGCAGGGCCGGGGTCTCCAGGCACCGTCCTCGGCTTGGGAGTGGGGTGTCAGGGAGGACGCAAGTCCCAGGGCTCCTGTGCCACGGCCCACAGGGGACTCGGTGCCGGGCACAGTGCCCGCCTCCAGGGACAGGGCAGTGGCCGCGGCCCCCGGATTTGACAACATCCTCTTCAACGCGGTAGGGCCCCGGGTGGGGCGGGCAGGCGGGTGGGGGAGGGCTGTGCCCCTGCAGAACAGAGCAGTGGGGCAGGAACTCCTCGACCCACCCACCTGCCACCCAACCCTCACCAGGCTCCTCCCCGTTTCTAGGATCAAGTGACCCTGCCAGCATCGATCACCAACGGCCCCTAGGCCCAGAGGACCCACTGCTCCCAGGAGCTCCCCACCCTGGCCCCAGACGTGCTGAGTCCCCATCCCTCACCCTGCATCCCGCCCGCCACCCATGTCTGGTTGCAGTCCTCACCCCAACAATAAACACTCCGGCCCGGAGGGCAGCCCCTCTCGCCGGCCAGCCTGTGCACGCTGCTCTGAGGTCCCTGTGCCCCCCCCCCCACGCCCCCACGCCACTCCTGAGCGGTCCCCAGGCAACACAGCTGCTCCTCAAGGACGTGAGGAAGGGAACACCATGGCGCTGCCCACACACCATCCCTGTCTGTCCCGCCTGGGCCAGGAAGGGGACGGCCAGGTGCTGCCCTGGCCTCTGGGCCCACAGGCCGATGGGCAAGGGTGTGGCTGGGGACTCGGGCCAGGGGAGGGCGGAGCCTGGTGCCAACAGGCCAGCCAACACCCACTAACTGTCCCAGCCAACACCCACTAGCATTCAGTCCCTCAGGCACCCCACACCCTGGGCCTGAGGGAGCAGAGGTGCAGTGGGCGGGGCCCGTGGGACAGATGTTCACACCAGCAGGAAGGGCAGCGAACGTTTATTAGTTTATTAGCGTCTCTAGCAGCCAGACGGGCGTCTTCCCTCTGCGGCTGGACTGGCCCCTACCTCGCACCTCCGTGAGGCCCCTCAGCTCCCCCGGGAGCCACGCCCACGTGGCCGACACCTGGGGAGGGTGGTGGGTCTGCGCCTCGCTGAGGACGGGGCAGGGAGGACACACAACAGGAGAAGCGAACACTTTGCAAGGCTTTGTTTACAGCAGGTGGGTGGGTCCCAGGCAGGCTGACACCCGTGTTCCGTTGGGCGCGTGAGGAGGCCACGCTGGCGCTGGGGGTCCGGGGAGCCGCCAGACACGATCAGCCGGAACGCACTGACCTCGAGGCTTTGTGCTCATTTCGCCCTGGGCCCCTTCTCGATCGGCTTCCCAATGTCCTTCCCCCGGAGCTTGAGGCCTGAAGGAGCATCGGACACGCTGACCTGCAGTCCCCGCGCCCCGCACTTCAGAGGACAGAGGGGGCACCCACTGGCCATGCACACTCACCCCTTCCCCACAGCAGGAGACGGGGAGCAGGAGGCAGCCCCACTACGGCCTGGCCCTCGACCCAGAGCAGACGCCCGTTCTCCCCAGGACGGGCTCTGTGCCTACGCTTCAGGCTGACACCCAGGGGCATGTGGAGGACCTGAGTGGGCAGGGCAGGAGCCAGGAGGACCCCAGCATTGGGGGGTGGGGGTGGGGCCGATGGGGAAATGTGCCGGGGAGGAAACCACACAGCTCACTCGCTCGGGAGTTTTCCTAGAGCCGGGCTTCCTGCACCCCGGCCTGACACCCCCCACCCCCCAGGGGCAGCCCTGACGCCTGGTCACCACAAGCCGAGGACGCTCACCGATGGCTCTCTCGATTTTGCCCAGAACCTGGTTGTTAGGAATGGCCCGTCCGCTCTCGTAGTCCGCGATGACCTGTGGCTTTTCGTTGATTTTCTAAAGAGAAAACGTGTTTTGTACGTCAGCTTGCTAAGAAAATGCTGAACTAGGGCACGCGTGGATGGGCCGGGGCACCACCTTCTGCGACAGCAAGGGGCCGAGAGCCTTGGCGGAGCAGCTCCCAAATGCCCGGGGTCACCCACGAGAGAGAGTTCCCCGGGGCCTCACGTGGCTCCCCCAGAGGCCTGCGGGGCCAGGGCCAGCTCCTCAGGGGGCCAGTGCAGCCTCCTACGTCCCCAGACGGGTAGAGCCCCGCCCGACCACAGCCCGGAGGGGCCGCCACTCACGGTCGCCAGGTCCTTCTGTGTCAGCCCCTTGCTCTGCCGGCCCTGCTGGATGACCTTGCCCACCTCCAGGGTCACCCGGTCGTGGTGCAGCTCCTCCGTCTCCCGGTCCAGCTTGGCCGTGTTCTTGGTGATCGAGTGCTGCTTGTTCTGGCCAGCAGCCCCTGAGCGGTGGGAGGAGAGAGAGAGAGAGAGAGAGGTGTGTGTGTGTGTGCTGCACCAACACAAGGGAAAGGCGTTTCAGGACACGAACCAGGCACGACGGCGGGCGCCCAGGTGACATGGGAAGCCAGGCCGTCCCATCATGGCAACCGCACAGGCGTCAGAGCAGATTCCAGAACCTCCTCCCCGCGGGGGGTGTGGACAGCACAGCCTCCTGACCTCTGCCCCCCACAGCTGCTGGGTGAGGCTCCAGGCGCCCCCAGCCCGCCGCGGCTTCGGCTGCCAGCGGGCATCCTGCCCCCAGGGGCACTGTGCCCATCTGCAGAGATGGCCCGCCACCACACCCTCGCCGAGAGCGGACGCATCGGTACCTACATTTCTTGGAAGTCTCCACATCTTCTCCTCGTCTCTGGGCTGCCAAGATGGCCTAGAAAATCAGGGAATGTTTTTTGGTCAAAATTAACTTTGGAGCCCTGGCCGGGCAGCTCAGTTGGTTACAGGGTTGTCCTGATACTCGAAGGTTGTGGGTTTGATCCCCAGTCAGAGCACACACCAGAGCCAGCCAATGAAGGCGTCGGTGGGTGGGACCAATCGATGTTTCTCTCTCTCTCCCTCTCTAACATCCATTTTTTAAATATTAGCTTTCACCCCGCCTGGTTTGCTCAGTTACAGCGTCGGCCCACGAGCTGACAGGTTGTGGGTTCGATTCCGGTCAAGAGCACAATTTGGTGGCAGCTCGGTCCCTGGCCCCAGCGAGGGAGGCGGCCAGTCGGTGTCTGTCTCTTCCCTCCCCGTCCCTCTCTCTAACAGTCAACGGGAGAAACGCCCGCAGGGGCGACGCCAAACACCAGACGCACCGGCTCCGGCAGCACCTGCCAGGCTCTCAGGGCTGAAGTCGGTGCAGCCTCTTTGCTTGTTTGGGTTTTTATTGACCTTCAGAGAGGGAGAGGGGAGCAGCAGCATCGATGTGAGAGCGAGTGAGACCTGCTGTCGCCCACACCCCACCCGGGCGGGTCCCTGCACCGCAGTCCAGGCCCCAGGCTCCTCCCCGGAGGCTGTCTGTCCGGCCGGCCTCGGGCCCACCTCCAGCACCACCCGCGGGAGCAGCCCTGGACCTGAGCCCCCAACAGAGGAACCGGGGCTCACACTCGGAGCAGGGGCTGCGGGCTAAGGGGCCGGGTCTACAGGCGCCTTGGCCATAGTTTCCTTTGGGGGAAAAAACCGCATTTGGTGACTGGTGGCCAGCAGGGCG